AGAACTGAGTCTTCACTAGCATTCCCTCACCCATCTTTTTTAGTTTTAATTACCACAGAATTGTCCAGGCACATGACCACTCCTCAAGGCCTTGGGTACTAGGTGGTAATCACAGCTCTCGACGTTCTTCTCCTTTTTTTTTTTTTTTTTTTTGTGGTGGTAGTGGGGGGATTAAGCCATTAATGGTTTACTCAAGGATGTTTAGGCTTAGTGTAATGATACCAGGACCTTAGTGAAAGGAGCTTTATCTTTGTAGGTCAGGTGCTAACATATATGCTTAATCCTGTTTTAGCCACCAAAGTCCTCGGCACTGTCAAATGGTTCAACGTCAGAAATGGATATGGATTTATAAATCGGTATGTGTCTGTGTGTCTTGCACCCACCTTTTAGCAATGGCAGTTACAAATCCATTGTCCTACTTTATTAATAGACTGTATATTTACATTTTGAAATTCCTAAGCACAGTAAACATTCTCTTCTAAGCTTTTGGTAACTATATTGAGACACATTTAAAAACATTCATAAACTCTAGCCTTTAGAAGGCCGCAGACATGAAAACTACAGTCAAATGGGGAGGACTTTAGTTATATCCATAATTTCACAGATGGAGAAAAGAGAACCTGGTTAAGCAGCTTTCTTTAAGGTCACACAGTAATGAGTAACTGAGCTGGGGCTGTAAGCCCAGCCCTGGTTTGGTCCAAGTCCTGTGAGGAAACCAGTGTTTAAACCGTGGTCCCTTGTGACCACTTGGCAGTGAAGTTGACCACAAGCGCTGGGAGACATGGGGATGTATTTTACAGGGTCTTGGCGATTTTCTCTTTCCTTCTTTTTAAAAACCAATTCCTCCATTTTCTCCCTTATCTGTCTGGGTGGGGTGGAGGTTAGGGTGGGGTAGTGGGAGGGCTGTTTTAAGTTTCAGTGTAAGGAGAGCCTAGTTCACAGCTGTGCCCTGTCCTTTTGACTGTCTTGCTTTTGCTAGGAGGAAAACTTAGGGCTCTGATTACATAGCATGTGATTGAGAAAGACATGAGAGCAAAGGGGTGTTTGTGTGGAATCCAGTGCTTGGATCTCTGCTTGCAATGGGGTGCAGTCAGGGGGTATCTGGGAGAGATAGGGGTTATGGAATTGGTACTAGGCATCTGTTTTGAAAAGACAAACTACTTAAGAGGTTGTGTTTTTTAGGTCTTGAGATCTGAGTCAATACATTTGTTCTTTGAAGCCTCTCTGAATGTTTAGAACCTTTAATGGTGAGATTGTTTTTTCTGCCTCCCAACAGAAATGACACCAAAGAAGACGTGTTTGTACACCAGGTAAGAGGGATTCTAGAAGTGATACTTACATGGTCTGTGTGAGTTCGGCAAATGATTACAGTATCTTATTATTATTATTTTTTGTTTGTTTTTTGTTTTTCAAGACAGGGTTTCTCTGTAGCTTTGGAGCCTGTCCTGGAACTAGCTCTTGTAGACCAGGCTGGCCTCGAACTCACAAAGATCCGCCTGTCTCAGTATCTTGAGCTCCTTTGGTTTTTTTGGAATCAGCGCTCAGTTCAACATTACTAAGAGTGGTAGATAAACCTTCATATCCCATCATATTAAATGGATTTCAAGCATTTGTGTTGTTCCTTTTCAAGTTTGAATGAAGTTATACTCAGTTAAACCATTTTCTGGTTTTTAGAGCCTAGGAGTCCTTATCCAGACAACTGCTTCCATGTTAGCTTCTGACTGGCCTGATTGTGTGGTTCTTGGTGGTTGGCCAGAGCAACCTGGCTTTTGCCTGAGCCCGTGGTGGTAGATAAAACTCGCTAGTCTCGTGAACATTACCCAGAAGCAGAAGGTTAGATGTGTGTCTGAGACATAAGAACTCTTCCTATTCCTTAGGCAGTTTTCCCTCCTGTTGACTCAGACATGTCCAGCATATAATCTAGTTCCATGGACCATCCCTCAACCCCCTCCAGTTCCCTTCTGTTTGAAACAAATTGAACAAATGGGTATCATGGAACTCTACTTCATGTGTCTCGGTCCTCAGATGTTCTTTACTATGATCCTAGATTGTTAGCTTTATAGAGTAGATTAGAAATCACGCCTATTCTTGCTGTTCCTCTTGTATATTCAGTCTGAAAGAGGCATGCCGCTGTCAGTGTCTGGATGAGAAAGTGTGGCAGTGGCATACTGACCTGCAGTGGCTGCTGTGCTGTACTTGTTCCCTCGTGTTTGGGTTTGTGTGGTGGGCAGTTGGGGATAGCCACGTATAGCGACTATAGTTATAGTTGTATTTTCCATCCTTCGTGTTTGCCCTGTGGAATACGTTTCTGTTGATCTAGATAATTGGAGTGGATTTGTTGAGAAGTCCTAACACACTGAAAAGGAAGTTGATGGTAACATCTGGAGGTTAATGGCCTTTGGGAGAAGCTCCCTGTTCAGTGACTGCTGGGAGAAAGGGGTTTCCATGCTAGTGGAGGCCTCCTAGGCTGTGAGCTAATGACCCGATTCCAGCCCCATGAGGTTGTATGGTGAGTCACCTCAGTGTGTTGAGGCCTGCCCAGTTTAACAGGAAAGGGGGAACGAGCCGGCAGGGAGGGGCTGTTTTTTTGGAATGGCTAAATGTTCGTGTTGTGCATACATACATCCTGTCCTGAGCTGCCTCCTTCTGGAGAGGGTGAGGTCTCTGCCCTATTGGCTCACTTTCCCCCCCTCTTTTCTCCCTCCTACTCAGAGTAGAGGAAGGCTGGATTACACATGTCTAATCGCTTTATAAAATAAGGTTGACCTAGTTCCATAGAAACTCCCCAGCCCTTTAACTGTTTAGAGATGACCAGCCAGGGAAGTGGAAATTTGTTGAGGTTTCTTCTCTCCTTGTATTTGAAAAAGAGAAAGGGCCTTTTCTTAAGTAGACGATGTAGGTGCAGATGTCTGGTAGGAGTAGCATCTTCCTCAAGTTTTCTACTGATAGCTGGCATGCGAGGTGTGAAATGTTGAGAACTTACAGAGATAATGTAGAGATACGAATTCCTCCATTTGAGCCTGCTAACTCAGATAAGTCACCTGTTGACCTCATGTGTCCTCATCCATAAAGTGGATAGCGCATAGAGACCAGGTTACACGTCGTCATTCCTGAAATGATCTTGTTTATCATCATATGACCATTTATGGTCATAAACATCTCCTTGATATTTTACTCCTTTTTTTTAAAAATCAGTCATTTTATTTATTTACCTTGTGAGGCAATTTCTTACTCTGTGTCTACACTGATTTTGAATTTTCTGTTGCTCAGGTTGGCCTCAAGATCATAATGATCTTCATCGAGATCATAATGATCCTCTTGCCTCATCCTGCCCCCCACCAACTGTTGATAATTTCAAACATGAGCACTAAGCTCATCTTTATTTTTGAGAAAGAATCTGTTGTTTTTTTGGTTTTTCGAGACAGGGTTTTTCTGTAGCTTTGGTGCCTGTCCCGGAACTAGCTCTTGTAGACCAGGCTGGTCTTGAACTCACAGAGATCCGCCTGCCTCTGCCTCCCAAGTGTTGGGATTAAAGGTGTGCGCCACCACCGCCCGGCTAGAATCTATTATTGAAATCATGATCCTACTGCTTCTACCTCCCAAATGCTAGCATTACAAGCATGCATCACTGTGTTCAGCCACACATACATGTCTTTTTATTTATGTGCGCGGCGGGGGGTAGTTATATGCACATGAGTGCAGTGCCTGTGGAGACCAGAAGAATCACCAGATCCTCTGGGTCATAGTTATCTTCCACACAGTGGGTGTGAGAGCCCAATTTAAGCCCTTGCAAGAGTAGTATGTGCTCATAGCTGCTGAGCTATAGCTCCAGCCTGCCACCTGTTTAAAAAATCTTTTGAGGCCAAAAATTTCTTTTGTGTATAAAACCTCTGTACGCAAACCTTGGTTATGTGTCTGTATAAGATTTTGTGTAGGCATTTTTGCCCTTGTGAAAGGAGCCACAGACAGAACCTCAGGAGCCTCTTGGCTTGATGTAGCTGACCAATTTAGTGTCTTGACTGGGTGACAGAGTGCACAAGAATGACTATCTCCTTAATGCACCTACTGGGGATACATTTTAAAGCACCCTGAAACCAAGAAAGAAATGTACAATGTAATATAGTGGTTTTTGGAGATGGCAAGGTGATGGAAGTGTGAGTTGGTTTTGTTTTGTTTTAAGTAAAATACCGATATAGTGTTCTGGCTAACATGAAATTGATGGATACCTTCAGTATTGGAATGTACCTTCATTGGAGGTTTCTGTTTGCCTTGACAGACCGCCATCAAGAAGAACAATCCACGCAAGTATCTGCGCAGTGTGGGGGATGGAGAAACTGTAGAGTTTGATGTGGTTGAAGGGGAAAAGGTGAGAAGCTGGTAGTGGAAGAGTGTGCCAGCACACAGTTTCGTTGTACGAGTGGCTTTCCAGCCTTAGTGAAATAATAGTTAGTTCTTATGATAGGAGGAAGTGGAGGCAGAAATATCTTACTGGGGGGACTGGAGAGATGGCTCGGTGGTCAAGAGCACTGGCTGCTCTTCCAGAAAACCCAGCACCCACATGGCAGCTCACAACTGTCTGTAACCCCAGTTTCAGGGGATCTGACATGATTACAGCAATCCCATAAAATAAAGTTAAATAAATTATTTTTTTTTTAAAAAAAGGAAATATCTTACTGGATACCACTATAAATATTTATATGCTATATATTTTAGTTTCTTGTTTTATAAAGGAACTCTGGAATAAATGCTAGTTTCTCAAAGTCTATTTTACTTTGGAAGACAACTGTCTTGGGTCAGGCATGTAGACCAGTTGGTAGAGTGCGTGCAACCCATGGTTCAGTTCCCAGTGCCACAGAGACATGGTGGTACCCACCTGTGGCCCCAGCACCAGGAAGACTGGAGGAGGAGGAACGCTGCAGGTTGTAAGACCAGCCTATGTCATCCAGTAAACTCTGCCTCAGAAGTACACTCCCCTCACCTCCCTGCCGGAATAGTTTTGACTGCAACCAATTAAGCCGACCGGGTTCCTCTCCTGGTGGACCCTTGGTGTGCAATGGCTGCAGACAGCAACCTCCTAGGTAGTGTATGCAGCCTATTCCTTGTATAGGTTGCTCTAAGGGACCTAGGAGACAAAGCTCTCCAATTGGTGTTCTTGTCTCTAATCTCATAGTATTCAGAATTTAGGGTTGAGACAGGTATGCAGGATGACTGGGAAAACCCAGGACTTGGTAGCTGGGATTCACACTGGCCAAACCATTCTGTCCTCTGCACCTAGTTGCACAGTAGAGAAGAAGTGATTGAGATCCCAGATGGGACAGGTTGAAGGTTTCTGATCCCTAGAATATCCTATATCTCAAAGAAGTGGGCCTTTTCCATACAGGCTTGTGGGCGGATTTGGTGGTGTGGTGACTGGGGATATAGCTCAGTGTTAGAATACTGTGCCTAGCATGCCTGTCCTTAGCTTCCGTCCCTGTCACCTGGGGGTAGAAGAAAGACTCTTAAGGCATTGTCAAGAATATAACAAGAAGACCTAAAGGAGGGCTGTGTGTGGAGATTATTCCTAAGTCAGGGCCTTTTCTTCTCTGTTTTTGTGAAGCTCAGAGATGATTCCCACTAAATAGTAACTCAGAGCTGATGAGACCAGCTGGAGCCAACCAGTCAGGATCCGGATGGTATCTCAGGGAATGGCAGTAGGTTTCACTGCATTTCAGTCCCTTCCATTGGTGTGTGTTGTAGTCATTCACTAGTGTTCTGAAAGAGATGCACTGCTCCTAAACTTGGCTGACTAGACAAGTAGGTGGGGCTTCTCAAGCCATAGGTGTGTAGTTACAGAGGTCAGACCCTCTCGTTGAGGTGATAAAAGCAGTGTTTTTAGGATCACAGTAGGAGTTCTTAACATAAAAGTTGTCTGTTGCTGGAGGAAGTTACTTGGCTTCTTTGAAAATTGGAGAGCCTCTGTTTCCTTCCTCAGGGTGCTGAAGCAGCAAATGTGACTGGTCCAGATGGAGTTCCTGTAGAAGGGAGTCGTTACGCTGCTGATCGGCGCCGCTACAGACGCGGCTACTATGGCAGACGCCGTGGACCTCCCCGTAATGTATGTTGTCTGTCCCTAATCACTGATTGCAAATACTCTCATGTTTAAAACAGGATGACCATAGGAATGGATAAGTGCCACATTTGAAGGTGCCGTGTCCTGGAGATACAAGAGACATGGTTATTCTTTGAAGGGGAATTTTTTAGTGCCCAGATTTTATTTATGGCTACCTGTGCTATTGAAAACATGACAGTCAGAAGTTGTACCGTTTAGGATGTACTTGGAGACAAGTAACAATCGAGTGTCTTGTAACAGAAGGCTTAATTAAGGTGTCAGGATGTCCATAGGCTTTCTCTTCAGCCAGATTCTTATTGTGGTATTCACTGGCACCAGGATTGCCAGCTGTTTCTGCCTTGGTGCTGAGATAGCTGGCCTCTAAGAAAGTTAGCATTTAGTTAGCAACAGTCGGGGATATCTTGGGAATCTCAGTGCATGCTGGCCATGGAAGTGCTAAGCGTCTTGCTGCAATTAAGGGCCTACTTTATGTAGGAAAGCCTTGTGCTCTTATTTCAAAGTAAGGAAGAGGTGAGTGATTACTGGTTTGTAGTTCTTTGGGTTAGTCTCAGTTCAGGTGAAAGCATTTTCTGGCTGGAGCATTCTTGGCTCAGTTTACAGGAATGTTCTCAAGGTAAACATTATGAACCCAATTGTGATCATGAGGAAGGACCTTGCTAGATTTGAATTAAGACTATACATTTTTGATGTTTGTGGAAGTAGATCCTGGTGCCAGCACCCTGTGTCTATGTCAGAGTTAGCACAGTGTGGCAGTTGCTTAGTTGCTTATGTCATACAAAGAGAAACTTTAGAAAAATCTCAAAGGAACGAAATATCTTCAGATTAGTCAGGCATGATGAATGACTCTTGTCTTTAATCACAATACATGGGGGATGGTGCTGAGGGAGGCAGATGATGATCTCCTGAATTCCAGGCCAGACCTTGTCTCAAAAAAGGAAAAAGAAAGAAAATCTACAAATGAAAATACTTGCCTCCATTTTGATAGACGCACATCTTTTTCTAAGCGCTTCTGATTTCCAGGCTGTCCTCTACTCCTGTCCCGTGTTTGTGTTGTATTCCTTACATTTTTTTGTTTATATTTTTCTTTTTCTTTCTTTTTTTTTTCTTCCTGTTTTTTGTTTAAAAAACAGTCAGGAGGAGTGACTAGAAAGTTCAGAATACCCGCCATACAAACATGAAAACCCTAAGTCAGCACCTGCTGGGTGCTGTTGCAGATTGTGTAGTCCCCAGTGCTGGGGCAGAGACAAGTGGATCCCTGTAGCTCATCATCCCTGGCTAGTCTAGCTGAATTCATGAGCTCCAGGTTCAGTGACATTCCTTGTCTCAAAATTACAGTGGAGAAAATTGAGAAAGACACCCAGCGTCAGCTTCTAGCCTCCATAAATGCACATGCGTGTCTTAATCTTTGAGGGGCAGGATGGGCAGTTGGCTTTGTGATGTTAACTTGTTTGTTCATGGCCCAGATCTCTAGCTGTGATCAGCTTGATGTCTACATCAATTTAGAGGTAAAAGTGGTAGAAAATCTTGGGTAAAAATTTTTTAAAGATTGTACCCTCCAAGAGCTAGAACAGATAAATCATTATCTATATGGAATCTTCTACTGTCCTGACTCCGAGTATAGTCAGCGATGGTGGTGCAATTGTGATTTCCTTGCAGAGGTCTTTAGGAAAGATTTAGCTGCATGAGCGTAAGAGTTATGCCTTCAAAAATTGATGTGGTGAATATTTTCTATGCAAAATATATCTTTACATAACTGTGCATCATTTATTCATACAGGTTTTATAAAGAGTAGAATGAGCCAGACCTGGTGGCGCAGGTCTGTAATCCCAGCTACTCGGGAGGCTGAGGCAGGAGGATCGCAAGTTCAAGCCCTGTTTGGGCTACAGAGTGAGTTCAAGGCCAGCTTGAGTAACTTAGTGAGACCCTGTCTCAAAATGAAAAGTAAAAAGAGGGCTGGGATATAGCTAAGTAGTAGAGTGCTTGTCTAACACGGATGGGCCTTTGAGTTAAGCCCCAGTACCCCAGGGAACCATGCTGTTGGTTTGGGAGGTTAGACCAAACCAGTTCTGTGGGGAGTTTAGTTGGGCTTGTGGGTTTGGTTTGAAGCTTTAAACCTTCCTCTAAGAGAGACTGGTCACTAGCTTATTAATTTTCAATTACCCTCAAAGGAATTGCAGGTATTAGCTTAAATGAGATTTGAGATAATAAATTCTTGAGTGTTTGTTGATTTGACTTAAAATAATGATGAATAGAGGAAAAATGAGTGATTATAATCCCCTTTTAAGTTCTATATTTAGAAATGGTTAGTACAACAGTTAAACCTTATTTCTAGATATTCAAAGGAAGGATACAATATATCCTATCCCTCAAGCTTTTTGATTTTTGGACCCACTTTTAGGCTTAACTGGTGTTAAAGATTCCAGAATCGTTGATGGTATTGATACTACTATTAGACATTAAAATTACCTTAAAATATTTCATTTAAAATAACTTATTACATAGCGATAAAACATTTTAATTGAAAATCCTGTGCAAATCGGGAGGGTAGGCTGGCATTGCACTGCATCGTTGGGTGTCTCTGATGTATAGTTTAATAGAAGATAGTCAGATTCTTTGTTTTGTGTTTGGCCTTTGGAGGGACTGCATGCCGTTGTATGCTAGAAGATCCCACCGTATGCTGGTGAGAGATGAATTTCTTAGTGGAACTTTGGGAGTGCTTTGCCTCTCTTATCCCTGGAAGGCTTTCAGAGACCCAGTTGCCCTAGGAAGCATACTGCCTGGGTCAGATCTGCTGATGACATCATAAAGTTTTTTTTTTTCTTGACAGTTCTTGACTTTCCATGCTGGGTAAATTTGGGAGACACATTGAAAGGAGCCAAACAGTGTAGCACGGCTGTTCTAATTCAGTGCCAGTAGATTTGGTAATAGATTGACTGCTCTTGCTTTTCTGCTGCTTGATATGTTATCTGCATAGATTACTTTAATCTCCATGTAGTTTATCCCAGGCAATCTACATGCCTGTGTCTGCACAGTGTTGTGTCTACACAATGAATGGTCACTGCTCTGGGAGTTGTGGGTGTTTCCTGGTGATAGCCATCCTAAGTGGTATTCTTTGGTTCTTGCCTGGCTGTAACTTCTTCTGAAACTCTGTTTCTTTGCTTCGCTAGTACGCTGGGGAGGAGGAGGAGGAAGGGAGCGGCAGCAGTGAAGGATTTGAACCCCCTGCCACTGATGGGCAGTTCTCTGGGGCAAGGAATCAGCTGCGCCGTCCCCAGTATCGCCCTCCATACCGGCAGCGGCGTTTTCCGCCTTACCACGTGGGACAGACCTTTGACCGTCGCTCACGGGTCTTTCCCCATCCCAACAGAATGCAGGTAAAATGCACCAGGACTTCTCCTCAGCAGTCCTCACCCTTCGTCCTTCTCTGCCTCCTCCTTCTTCTCCTCCTCCTTCAACTCCAGCTACCGGAAGTAACACATTGCTTGCAGCTTACCATACTATCAAAGCTGAGGCAAAGCCCACTCTGCCTGTTGAACACTCACAGAAACGTTTTTTGAAATAGATCATAAACATGAATATCATATGGGACAATGGGATAGAGTATCTAGTTTGTAAATGTGTAAGGAAAACCTGCTAGGCATGGTGATGCATGCTGAGGCAGTAGGAGTCTTGAGGACTAGCCTGTGTTACATATTGAGACAGGTAATATGTGTAAGAACTTGGACTTAGACTCTGATCTCCAAAAAGGCCTAAATGTTAATTCTGTTTTCATTACTGGTTATTTAAAATTTTGAGAAAATGGTTGCTCACTGTTGAATGGCGACATCAGATGCCTTTACTAGAATGTTCTATTAAACACGAGGGTATAGCACATTGGAAAATGTAAAGTGTTAAATTAGATCAAAGTGTTGGTTTTCAGGCAAGCTAAGAATCTCCAGATTGAGTGCTGGAAATGGGTAGAGCTTCTGTGCATGTGTAATAAGCTTGACAGCAGTGTCTCCACTCCTGGGGAACTTGGGCCCTGAT